TGGGGGCGGCGGCGGCGGGGCCGGCCCGGTGTCCCCGCAGCCCCACGAGCTGACTTCGCTCTTCGAGTGCCCGGTCTGCTTTGACTATGTCCTGCCTCCCATCCTGCAGTGCCAGGCCGGGCACCTGGTGTGTAACCAATGCCGCCAGAAGTTGAGCTGCTGCCCGACGTGCAGGGGCGCCCTGACGCCCAGCATCAGGAACCTGGCTATGGAGAAGGTGGCCTCGGCAGTGCTGTTCCCCTGTAAGGTAAGCCCAGGGACGGCTCTCGCACTGCTGCCGGCGCCCTTCCGGACCTCCGGTGCCCTCCAGCGCGCTCGCAGGCCCTGAGAGGCAGATGGCATCTGTCGTTTCAGAAAGAAATTACACTCTCTCCATGGCCACCTGGCTGCTTTGGGAGTAGCTCTGGGCTGACATTTGTCTGAACACTGATCCAAGAAACACTGACGCTCGCTGGCTGGGCGTTTGAACACATCACCGCTCTCCCAGCCCGCGTCCTCTGCAGACGTGTACTCGGGTGTGTTCGCTAGGGTTGGCCCCGCAAGTAAACTTTGACTGCGAAGCGGACTGTGGGGATTGAGGAGGGAGGAAGTGGGCGAGTTCATCGCACCCTTTACCAGTCCTCGGCTTGGCAGGATTGTTGCCGGATTCCTCCTGGACCCTCAACCAACCATTTGCACACCCCTGACACGTGGGAGAGCTCTCTGGAGTGTAGGTGGGGGGAAAGGCGCCTACGGCCTGTTTTCCTCCGGCAGTGAAAAAACCCTGCAGGCCACGCCTTTTCCTCTCCTAGGCTCCGAAGGACTGGGATGGACTGAGGAGTTCTGGCTGCGTTTTTGTGCTAAGTGCAGTGAGCACGAGAATCAGTCAGGAATTTTACCAGGGCACGCAGGAGCTATTGTCAGTCTTTAATACCCGGCACTTTAGACTTGAATTTAAAAAGTTACCAATGCGCTTGTGAAAAATATAACCACAAAGGCAAAGGAAGTGACAGACCAGTGTCTTTTCCCTTTCCCCCGCCCCCATTTTTAGGTTTAGTATGCGTCTCTATAAACTTCTGAAACCATATATATGTACACCCTCGCAGCTAAATACAGAATCATGATGTCATTGTGTCTGAAGATTTTTCTATACCCACACATAGACATAAATTTTTCTCCAGAAATTGAGTCCTGCAACTTGTCTTTTAAATTCATACTATCACGTCTTTTTTTAATGTCTGAAATCTAGCTCAGCCTCATTGTATTTTAAATGGCTACTGAGTACTGCATTGGGTGTTCATATTATAATATTTGTTTACCTACATCCAAAACTTTTAATAGCCTCAGAAACATCTGCATAGACGTACAGTACTTATCTATAACTCACGATAAAGTAGAGCTATACTGTAGAGTTCATTTTCTCATCTTTGAAGTGGAAATAATGTCATTAATACTTCTCAGTATTTTAAAATAGAAGTAGCTGTTCTGTTTCGTGGGCCATTTAGTCTATCTCGCATTTTACCTTGGTGCTGCTTATTTTATAGGGCAAGAGCTCATTTTTAAATTAAAAATAATTCACAGGAGAATTCATACTTGAGACTCAGGTCAGTAAAATGAGTGCTTCAATTTGGTTCTCTGCTCTGCCGCAAATCAAGTTTAAAATAGCATATTCAAATAAGGGTTTAAATCAGCGTTTGGACCATGGGGTCTGAGATAACCTTAATAAATTACTTTGCTTTGAATCCCTCCTGTAACGCTTACTAATTCACTCAGCTCAGGCATTATTTCTCATACAATTTGGTTAAAATATTTCTGTAGTTTTCTTAGAGTCAAGAAGGAGGTGGCAGCCTACTGATCAGAGAAGAGTTGATGACAGTTGACGCAGCGTGGGTATTTGATATTTGAGAGATACTGGGGAGCTGGAAGGGAGCCTTAGAGGCTTCCTGGAGAGCCATCTTCTCCCTTCACTTTCCAATAAACCTTCAGTGGCTGGTAGAGCTGATTTTTATAGTTCACAGTGAGCATTTGATATCAGTCAATATACCTTAATTTATTTTTTAAAATATCATAAGAGGGAAGGAAACAGGCTGTATGGAATATGGAGTTTTACTTTCAGGATCTAGAATTCTGGTTCCTTGTGAAGCATGTGTTCTCTGCTAAGATGTAAACAGGCTCATGAAGTCATTCTTGAAAGAGTCTCTTGGGAATCAAGTGCTAAGCTTTACTGTGCATGTCATTGATTTTCCAAGTCTTTGTGAGAAAGCAGTTGGCCAAAGCCATCACTTTGCCAGTTGAAATTGAAAAGGATCACCTGTTCTTCTGCAGGCCAGGAACTGAGCTTAGAATGGTGATGACTGTTGTGTGAGACTTGCAAAGCTAGTGTGTGCCTGCCTCTCCCTTGGTTGACCAGTGATCCAGACTATTAATAGAGCAACTCAGCCAGTTAGTATGGATAAACTAAATTTGGACATATGCATAGGCCCAGTGACCAACCAAGACACATTAATTGGAGAGGATGAGAAATGAATAAGGCCCATGTCAAGCTGAAAACAAGGGAGGTCTATGTACCTAGTTCTAACTTGTACTTTGAGGCTCCTAGAAGTCCTAGGGACTGCCTTTTCGCTGTCTCCATTTGTTTTTGAAACCTTTTGTGAGATGGTTTAGTCAAGCAAAGCAGTGTTAGGTAAAGTACTAAAGCTCACATCCCAAGAGCTGCTGGGCTCAGGCCATGTTTCCCAAGACTACCTGTGAAGGCCTTGATTTCCACACACATAAATGAAGAATGAGTCTTCTAAGGACCTGGACCTTTTAGCATCCTATAAAAAAAAGAGGAGGCTATCTGGAATTTGTGCCAGCTGTTTTGCATGAAGCAGCATTTATTCGCCTTTTTTTCAGATGAGGAAATTCATGCCTGCCTGTAAAATAGCTAAGTGTTAACTGATTCGCCGACTCACACATTCAGTCAGTGGGCCAGTCTGTGAACTTGCTTCACAAACAGCATGCTTGGTACTACCCTGTATTACATAGGGATTTTGAAATTGTATTTATACTCTAGGATTCCACGTCATAACTCAGGGTGGATGACAGTAATAAAACCATCTGTTTGGATGACTTCATCAAATGAGCTTCTGATTGGACTAATCCAACGTAAACCTGGTCTGGTCATGTTTCAATTAGCCAAAAATCGGAAGTGTTGCCAAATAGTTGCCTTACGTGGGTGTGCGGCCACTTAATTAAAGGCTAGCGTGTTGCCACACCTTTGATTCAGGGTACCATATACAGAAGGGATCGCATCAGCATATAGTGCTCTTCCACTTACAATATTTGTAGTCCATTCTATAGCTGAGAACTTTGATACCCTGTTCACAAATCTTGAACCCATCACCTCAGTGTGTGTGTAGGAGTGTGGTTGACCAGTTTGTGTCACAACTCAATGTGTTTCACCATTCAGCAGTGCATTTTGATATCAGCCAGGTATTTCTCTCTACACTGTAGGAAAAGGTACCACGCCAGCCCACTCACATTAAGACACACTTTCTACTTTTTCTTTGTCCTCTGTTTTAAAAAAAGGTTTCTAGTAGTATGTTTCCAAATAATTGTAGAATTTTACAATTTTTAAATCTGTGTGTGTGTGTGTGTGTGTGTGTGTGTGTTCCTGGGGATTAAACCCAGGCCCTTTGTGCTAATGCTATACTTCCATCTGTTTTTTATTCTTATTTTGATTCAGAGTCTTGCTGAGACACTCAGTCCCCATCTTGCCTCAGTCCCCCAGAGCGGGGATTACAGATATGCACTACCACACTTGGCTCACCCATTGAATTTGAAAGTTTCAGCCAGAGAAGTCTTCCCCACGATTAAATTGTGACAGTTTTGTTTAAAAAAAAAAAAAAAAAATTACATAACCTAATTGAAAGTTCAAAAGGCCCTCAATGTGACCCCATCTAAACAGACTCTAAGTACCAGCAAGGACCAGGTAATAATGCAAGGGAGAGAAGTATCTGACACGTGGCCTTGGGGCTGCAAGGCCTCCAGAAGCAGTGGAAGCAGTGGGGAGCCAAGCATACCGAGATGCTGGCTCAAAAACAAAACAGATAAAAACCAGAGAGCAACCCACACTCAGCACTGGTGAACTGATGGACGTGAGGATGTGGATACAGCCATACAAGACCTTTGTTTTGTTTTGTTTTGTTTGCCAGAAATCTGGACTTTTATGTTAAATATCTCAATTTTTTCTACCATTGGCCAAATTCAAATGTACTGACAGTGCTTACAGGCCAAATTCCAACTGCCTGAGTACACCCTCTGCTTTGGCTGTCTTGTAGAAAGCATTCATCAAGCCTGGAAGTTCTCACGTAATCACTGTCATCCATTAACTTTGGCACTCTGATAGATCCAGCAGAGATTTTGTAGCTTGTTTTCTTTTCAACTTTATTTTGCCAAGAGAATACTCATCTTAGCCGTCTGGGGACCTTAACTGTTGTCCTAGTGACTAGGTGTTTGACTTTGTACAAGTCAGTTTATTTTTTGCATCTATGGGTCCTTAAGGGACAGTCTTGGCCTACATGATTATGCCAGGGTTCTTTCAGGAATCCAGTAAGTGGTCCAGGGAGAAAAAGCACTAGATACGAGGCAGAAGAACTAGGTTCTCCAAAGTCTTGGCTTTGTATGACTTTGTCTAGTCATGACTTCCCTGAGCTGTTTTGTTCATCCTTCAGAAAGAACAAGGATAAAACCCAGCTAGTGAGGGCTGAGATGAGACCAGAAGTGCTGTAGAGGGCTTCTGCCTCACCGTTTCACATGAGGATGGTGGCGTCGGGGTGCTGGTGAGCTGATAGCTGGCCACTTAGAAGTCTGAGAGGGTAATAAGCCAGCTAGCGGAAACAGTCTCCAAGAGCTCTTCAACTGTTCTTCCAGATACGGTCGCTTGCTTTGGAAATTGTCCTCACCACTGCCTGATGTTAATGAGGTTAGCCCTAGAATGAGCTGTCAAGAGCTACGGTTCACATTCTTTAACACCAAGGCTCAAGATGTTAAAGAACAGTGTTGACAGAACAGCTTTTGAGTGTCAAGTTCAGAGTAGCATCACTGAAATATATAACTGTACTGAAGTTTAATGCTTATTCTACATGTCATTGACCAAAGATTTTTTACAGGTCACCATGACCTCGAACTGGAATAGAGTACTGTTAAAGCTCATCAGAACAGCCAGAATGGAGGTTTATTAAAAAGTGCAGCTGTTTTGACCTCTAAAGTACCAGCCTGAGATTA